TCGCAAAACGCTCATTATTTTTGCATCAACCTAATATTATAGTTGCTCTAGAAATTTAGACATGAGAAATTAGGAGCACCAATCATCAGTTAATTTGCTGCTTTACTAGTGTGATACTGAGTGTAGGAGACAGTTGTTTATTTCACGATTGCTTACCAATGCTCAGATAGGAGTTTAGTCGAGTGACTTCTTGCGAAGAAAAAGCTGCTCCTGGTATGAAAACGGAGCCATGGGTATCGTTCACTCCGTATGCCAAAGTTTCACAAACATTTGTTACAGTCACAACCTGCAGAAGCCTCTTTTTCTCATTTTTTCTACGATGCCTCCCAAAAACCAACCTGGTTAGTGAGGATGTTAGTTTTTGATGCACGCTGAGATATTGATGAATCGGATGTCGTGGCCTGCCCAGAGGCACTTTCTGCCTGCTTTGCCATATGGCGAACCTCAAAAGAGCAAATCAAAATACGAAGAGAATGTAGCACGAATGCTCTTAGAGGTATCAAAAGTAAAAAGCAAAACACACTAAAACGCGCTAGATCACCGACTGTACCTTCACCGCTCTCCACTTGCATCCGTTCTTTCCCTCTTGTGGGACCATGGTGATATGAACCATATCTCCAACTGCATAGCGATTTGAAAAGTTTGGAACATGTTCGTTCGCAGGAATGGCAGCAGCTAGAGGACAGAACACGCTTCCCAGTGACGTTTCAATGAAGGCAAATTTGGTTTCCACGCGGGAAAGGCGACCAGACGTGGTCAACTTCTCCACCATCCAACTGTAATGTGATGATCTCAAATTTTTGTTAACTGCAGTTAGAGAAAATGAGTACGAAGCGAAAGTCGGCTACCAAGTTCACGAAAAGTATGGTACCAAAAATGTGGAGCCCGCAATCGTAGCTTAAAGACTTAGGACTTATGTAGCACATCTAGTTCGCTCAAAATTCTTGCAATACCGAAGATTCCACAACGCAGTATTTCAACAGATAATCCGTGGGAACCCAGCCAGAAA